ATAATAAACCAATTTATTTAATATTAGATTTTGGATCAGTAAGAAGTGTAATATCTAAAGCATTTTTACAACAATTAGGATGAAAAATTAAATCCGCATCTACAATAACAATAATTAATATACAAAGCAGATGATTTCGACCTTTAGGATGAGTTACAAATATTCCCTTACAATTAAATGGTATAGAGATTCCTATTAATGTAGATATCACTAAATCGACTAATTATTACATTGTAACAGGAAATAACTGGCTTTCAAAATGCCGAGGATGACTTTATTGAGACTGTCAGAAATTCACATTTTATTGGAATAATAAAGAACATTAAGTACCAATGACTTATTGGAAAAAACCACAATTCGACCATTTCTAACAACTAGTAGTCATTACCAATAAATCAGTCAACAATAATGAAAAATATGAAGATGAAAAATCGATAGCCCAATGACATTATGTAGTATTTGGAGATCAAGATAATTTAACTTCTTTAGCTAAAAGTAATGCAAAACAAATTTCTGTAAAAGGACAAAAGTATTCACCCTAATACTTTGAAAGTCTAAAACAAAAATTTGAAGTTCAATCACCTAAAGATGCTAAGTGGAAATTTAATTGGCAAGGACCAGAAAATCGATGTTGGTATCATAACAAATTAAATAAAAATAATGATGTTTGTCAACTTTGCAAAAAGGAATGGAATCACTGACAATTATTGCAAAACATTCCTGATGAGTTACCAATTCAAGTAAATACATACTCACACCTAAATAGGTATCAGCAACTACAAATCACCAGATTCCTTGATAAAAATGAAAATGCATTTGCTAATGACCTATCTCAATTGAGGTATATAATGATAGAAAATCATCATATTCCAGTAGAAAATCCTATACCAATATGACAGCGTACATATCAAGTAGCTCTCTTAGAATAAGAATTTATTAAAGATGAAGTTGATAGAATGTTGAAACATAATTTAATTCAATGTTCTGAGAGCCTTTAGGCATCACTAGTCATTTTAGTAAGAAAAAAGAATGGAAAGCTTCAATTTTGTATTGATTATAGGAAACTGAACAGTATCACTCAACAGGACGGACATCCTTTACCTCGCATTGATGAATTGCTTGATATATTTGGAAAGGCAAAGTATTTCTCAACATTAGATTTAGCAAGCGGTTATTAGCAGGTTGCTATGAATCCAAATGATTAGGCTAAAACAGCATTTATAACCAATCAAGAACTTTATAAATTTAAAGTTATGCTGTTTGGGTTAACAAATGTCTCTATAACCTTCTAATGTCTGATAAACAAAATCTTTAAGAAAGAAATTGAACAATTTGTAGCTGTATATCTCGATGATATTATTATCTTCTCAACTATCTTCAATGAACATATCCAGCATTTGCAATTAATTTTAAAAGATTAAAGGACGCCTGATTAAAACTTTGAAAAGATAAATGTGATTTTGCTAACTTAAAATTAGCATTCTTAGGACATATTGTTAGTAAACAAGAAATTTCCCCTAATCCTTTCAAAATTGACAAAATCAAGAATTTTCCTATTCCAAAGAATATTACTAAACTCTGAGGATTCTTAGGCCTCGCATCTTATTATTGAAGGTTTATTTAGGACTTTTTTACATCAGCTGCACCTCTACATCTATTATTGTGAAAATACATGCCTTGTATCTGGACTGAATCACAGCAAAAAGCATTTAAACACTTAAAAATTTGTTTAACTACTGCACCAGTCCTAATATATCTCAACTTCAAATGAAAGTTCTTATTATTTACTGACCGATATTAAGGTTTATATAAGAGTATAATATTTATTTGCTAATTTTTCTATCAGATATTTAGTATTGGAAAAGTATTAATTATCCTATTTTTGATGTTTTAAAAAATTATCTTGCAGTATTTAATAATTATTCTGTAGAAAATTATTATTTATTAATTCAAAGACAAACAAGAGAAACAAATACACATGAACAACTTTCAAGAATAGTTCATTTTATTAATTATTTTTATTATGATTAAAGATAGTATCAATTAATTTCAAATTTACAAATTGTTGCAATATAAGCTAATATTAGTTACAATATAATTGCAATATTATAAGTTGCAATATATATATGTCAAAACTAATTGCAACATAAGTTGTAATATTAAAAGTTGCAATATATTAATTACAGTTCCAATTTTAGTCATAATAATGTATTTTAATATATATTTATTACAATAAAAAAATATTCTTATTGTAAAAAATTTAATAGATTTAACTAACAAAGAATCTATTTTTCTTTAGAATCATTTACAAAAATTAAAAATAATGTTAAAAAAAACAAATGAACAAAAATTAATTAATATGATAAAAATAAGCTTTCATATTATCTTGCAACTCTTGATATGGATGTAGATGAATAACATTTATTAATGGCTTTCAGTTTAGAATATTCTTTATTTAATTCATTAATAAAGTATCATCTTCAAAATTCTTGTCAAATATTACAATCAATATTTACTTTTCATATATCAATTTCTCTTTTATATGATCATATGTAAAGATGGGAACTGTAATTAATATGTTGCAACTTTTAATGTTGCAACTTACGTTGCAATTAGTTTTAACATATATATGTTGCAACTAATTTTAGCTTATGTTGCAACATTTTGTAAATTTGAAATCAATTGCTGTACCATCTTTAATCATATGGGAGCTTTGCAATAGAAAGAAAAGAAACTCTAAAAAAATTAAAATTTTACTTTTTAAGTTAATTATGATTTTTTTTGTAAAATAAGTCCAGATTTAACAATAACTCAAAAAAAAATTTTTTTAGAGTTTTCTCCCTTTCTATTGCAAAGCTCCTATATTTATCATTACAATATCTTTAGTATAAGTATTTATATTATTAATAATAAAATTGATAATAATGTAAAATCCATTATTTGAAGAAATATTAAAATTAAAATTGATCAAGAAGATGAAATACAATTAAATAATAATAAATCTGAAGAATTATCAAAGCAAATATTATTTGATTTTGAAAATGCAAATCAATTTTTTCAAATAATAAATATATATAATTAATATCTATATAACTAAAAAATATAATCCATTTATTCAATTTAATAATAAAAAATTTGAGCCAATCAAAATTATTGATAATTAGGAAATGATCGACATAAAATTGACCAATCCAATGTCTGCCATGTTGATAAAATTAAGCATGATCGCGGATAAATGATTAATTGGAATATTTAAAGTTTACGGATAAATGTTTTTTCTGATAGGTTTGATATAGTGGGATGATATGGAATATCTACAAAATCCAAAAAAACTACATGAATTAGACTTTTAGAGCTATTACACCGTATTAAAATAAAAGGATTTGATTTCATAAGGATGTTCATACAGGAAATTTCGGATATATTACAGATTTAGGAGAAAAAAATTACGTGTTACATTATATAGCTCCAGGGATCAAAGCAAATATTTATTGTTTCGGAATAGTTCTTGTTCAGTTCTTAAAAATCAAAAAAAGTCATACTCCGAATCAAAATTTAAAAAAAAATTGTGAAATGCCACGTGAAATTTTCATCTGACATAATTCAAATTTCCTAAAGGGGAATCAGATTTTTACCGATATAAAAAAAGATAAGAAATCCCTCTTCAATAATTTTTGACCACGTTTAAAAATAACTTTTATCCTTGTATCACGAGTAGATAAATATATATTTTTTCATATCGATATATAATTCCCTATCATTTTCCCTTTTTAAAAAAAAATAAATAACTTTGAATCAATAATGTCTGAAAAGAAGTTATTCACACTTGCAGAACTTGCTGAACATAACCATAAAAAGTCTTTGTATGTCTCTATCAAAGGCAAGGTTTATGACGTAACAAAATTCATTGATGAAGTAAGCTTTTAGACTTTTGTTTATCGATATCTTTAAAGAGTAATATTATTATTTGTTTTTGTTTTTGTTTATTTACTAACTTTTATGATATTTGGTAGCATCCCGGTGGAGAAGAAGTACTTCTTGATGAAGGTGGTAGCGATGCAACTGAAGCTTTTGAAGATGTTGGACATTCAGACGAAGCTCATGACATTTTGAAAACTTACGAAATTGGGGAATTAAAGGATGTAAGTAACATAGAGAAACTACACTTGTAGTAGGATTTAAACGTGTGTTATTTCTATTATTAGATTTTTAATGATTTCTGATTATTCGTTTATTTTTTTGAGTTAGGGACCTCCAATACCATCACAAAAGTCTCAACCATCTTATCCGAAACCACAACAACCAGCTGAACCATCCAAGTAAGATATAAAGTTGTTACGTTATGTAGGTTAACTCACTTTATAACTTATTCTATTTTTATTTGATTTTATAGCATTGTTAGTTATCTCTTGCCAGTTGCAGTAGTTGCAGCTTATATTGTTTATAAATATGTTGCATCAGAGTAAAATTTTTTATAGATTTAATACGAGTAATTTTTTTTCCCTTCATAATTTATATATCCACTACAATCAACTTTCTTTTTAATAACATTTTTTTTTGCTTAAATGTAACAATTAATTTAGTTTTTTGACAAGTTGAGTACATCTTGATTAATTTTTGGAGCTAAATAAAATAACAAAGCTTTATTCAAACAAATATATATATATATATAATGTGATTCAATTTCTTTATTTAACCGATACTCCAAAATTTATATTTTATAAAAATGATGAATTCTAAAACTTTTTTTTTTAACGAAAAAAAAACCATTAAATTATGATTATAATTTTATTTAATAATCCACCATACTACTGTAAATTATAATATTTATCAAAACCTTTGTGAATTTCTTATTATTACTTACCCAACTAATATAAACAATACATATTTAATTATCATTCCCTTTTTTTTTTAATTCAAAGTATCTACATAAAAAATATTAATTTATTTATTACTTTTGTTATTATAACAAGCAACCATAAATATATATATATATAAAATCAATACAAACTTTCCGGTACAACTGTATCCTTTGTAATCTACATTATGTAATAATAATTATAATTAGACGATAAAATTACAAAGAATAAAAGAATAAAGTGGGAAGAAAAGAATGAGCGACTCACCAAAACTCTCGTTTGGATCACAATGACATTTCATTTGTAGTGATTCCTCAATCGGACAATGCATAAATGGATCATGTTTATAACCGATTTCGTTAAAAAAATGAATTTGATGTCTTTTCAATAATAATGCTGCAGCGATCGAGTGAACTGGCGCATCTCCCCATCTATTTCAACCCCAAAAATTTTATTTAATTTTATTTGTAAAAAAATGAGGACTTGGACATCATCATTAAGCGTATTTACCGTTCATAGAAAAATCCACCTTTTTTATCAAGAAAATCGAAATATTTCATATATGCTTCACTTCTCAAAAAATTCAAATCTGCGAGTTCAAAGTTTGACCAAAAGTGACATCTAAAAAAAAAAAAGGTAAATAAGTTGAAAATCATAAAAGTCGAAGCTGAAAAATAGTTACGCACAAATTATAAGTGTCCCCATTATCATCTGATATAAAATCTATTGAATTATCTTTTTCAATATATTGAGGATATTTTTTCATAAATTCCTTAACAGAATCCCATAATGTTGGAATTGTTTTTTCATATTCATACAATGATATAGTAAAACCTATTACGAAATAAATAAATTAATCATTTTCTCATACGAGAAGAAAGAAAAGCAAATGAATTATATTTACTGTATTTAATATCATTTTCTTTTAAATACATGAAAGGATCAAAATCGATATCACAAAAAAATTGCACTCCCGGTTCTACTCGCCAATAAAAATCATATTTATCTAATAGTTCATGTCTAAAGAAAAATCCCGATTCGAATCTAAAAATTAAGTTTTATTTTTATTTGTTAATTTTTTTTATAATTTTGTCAAAATAAGTACATAGAGAAAATGTACCATCTCAAGAAAATCAATACCTGCACATATGACGGTAAGATAAACTATCACCGTATATCACATTATCTTCTTTCATTTTTGCCATATTTTTATTAACAGTATCCATATTAATATCTTTCGGTACGCTCCAATGTTCCGTTGGAATTAATCCTTAATTTAATATTCGAACAATTCATTAATATTCATATAATAAATATATCTTTACTTCAAAAATAACTACTTTTTTAATTGATTAATTACGTACCATACTCAGTTTTCGCCTTGGTAAGCGCACTAGATAATTTTTTAAATTCTTCAGTAAATGGAGCTTCATTTAAAAATACATAAGGATAATTGTATTTTTTATTGAATCTATCTTCAAGTTGTCTCATTGTCCATCTAAACTCATGTAAATCATGGTTTCTTATCAATATAACGAAACAAGCTTTTGCTTTTCCAATTTGCTTTGCGTGCTGTGGAGGTATTAATACTTCGCCATTTGTTTCAGGTTCTAATAACCCTGTCCATGGTTTAGAAAAGCTTGAACTGGGATGAGTATATATAAATACCCAATGTAAGAAAACGAGTGTTGCTAAAGCTAAAGATATATATTTTATATTATTACGTTTTAGCATTTTCGAAATAGAAATTTCACGTTAAAATTAAATTATGAAAAAAATATATCAAATAAATAATAAATAAATTTCCAACGATCATACAACCTATAATCTTATCTATTTTTGTTGTTTTATTGATGAATATAGTTAACGTTAAACAATAATTGGGTAAATTGTAATTAATTGTAATTGCCGATCTCGAGTGATAGTCACTCCATTATTAGAAAATAGACGCCGTTCTCGGATTACAAAAAATTTTACTTGGTTAAGTTCGGTTAGGCAACCATAAAAAAAAAATAAATATTACATAATTTTATCATAAATTTCATATATTATTTTGGTTTTCTATAATGTAACTATCACCATTTTAATTTACTTTATCATGAAATTGAACTAGTTTTAAGCTACATCTCTCATAAATATAAAATTTATTTAAAGTCGAATTCAAAAACAATTATCTTTATTTAAATATTAGCTAAAAACCTTATAAAAGCTTTTGTAATAGCAGATATTTCTTTTAAAAAAAGTATAAATAGATATTTTATTTTTATATATATCTATTTAACATTATCAATCTCTTATTTTTTTTAGTAATTATATATTATAAATAAAATTACTGAAGTAGTAAATCATTCTTTGACATAATTATTAATACAGATATAATCTGATTATCATTTTATAATCTGAATTCTTTAATTCAATATTCATGATGTAAATAATGTAATCTATTTTTATAATCTAAGTATATCACTTGGAAGTGATTTTTTTATTTAATATTAATTACCTTTTGATACTCTAGATATTATTTTAGTTTCTTTTTAATTTATATCAAATATCATTTATCACTACCATTCTCCTTTATAATTTAATTATTATTATTATTCATAACTAGTTTAGCAGATATGATTATATCATTATATTAATTATTTTTTCAATCATATATAACTGAATTATTACATCAGCTAATCTTGACTTTAAAGCTTCAAAAAATATAGTATATATTCAAATGAAATGAATAAATTAATAAATTTAATATTTTAGATTATGAATAATATGATTTTGAAATATTAAATCAAGAGTAAATGTTATGTATAAGTTACCTTAAACTGAATTAATTAATTATGTAAATTACTTAATAAATTAATTATTTTAGATTTCAAAGATTTACGTAAAATCACAAATGTATAATCAAATTATGCTAACTATTATATTTACGTTTTAAATTATATAAAATATAATATAAAAATATGACAACAAAATTTTAATAACATAAAAATCAACTTTTTGAATATTTCATAAATGAGAAATAAATAAATAAAAGAAAAAATTAGTAAAATCAAAAAAAAATAGGTTGAAAAATTTAAAATCAGAAATTATTAATTTTACTTTTCTATTTATCACTTTTCATCTTTTTACCTTTATTTTACCATCATTCAGCTTCCATTTTTACTATTATTCTGCCTCCATCTTTACTATTATTCTGCATCCATTTTTACCATTATTCTGCCTTCATCTTTACTATTGTTCTGCCTTAATCTTCAATAATATTCTACCTTTATCTTTAACATCTAGATTTCTCAAGCCATAAAAATATCATATAAGACTTGGAATAAATATTGCTGATGAAGAGGATATTAAAAAAGTAATAAAAAATATAATAGAAGCTCAGATTTTACAGTCTCTATAAGAAATCGAAATAAGGAAATAATACATTTTTTATAAGATTTATATATGTAATTAATGATTCTATATCAAAATTCTATATGTTTTATAATGATTATTTTTTTATAATTTTTTAAAAAATTAATGTATACGGAATTATTAAGGAATTTAAAATAACATAAATTTTACATAAAATAAAGAAATAAAAAATAATAATATTCAAACCAAAAATAAATTTTTTTCTTGTATTTTTAATGTATAGATA